CATTTTGAATGGGAAGAAATGGACATCATAATAAGAAAATGTTTAGATGAATAAGGCCACTTATACATTATCATAATATGCAAGAAAGATTTGTGGAGATGGTGCTCGACAGACAGAACACAAATCTTGATAATAGTTGAAAAGAAAATAGATCTGCTTCTTTTGTGTGATATAAAAGAGCTCATTCAGGTAGTCCTCATTTAGTGACTGCCTCATTCAATAACCATGATGAAAAAATAACCTTATGACCAATCCTCCCATTTATGACCTTCACAGATCTGTAGAGCAAAGGAAAGCTGAAGTAAGATCATAAGCATAGTCATAGTTTCACTTAGCAATCATTTGCTTAATGATTAAACAATTCCAATTATGGTCACCAAATGAGGACTATCTGTACTCAAAACCAAGTAAAGGTGCAATATTACTCAGGTTACATCATTTTTGATCTACAGCAAGAAATAAGCATAGGCCATAATAATAAGCCAGACATTGGTTTGATTTTGGTTCCCAGATGATTATGCAACACAGAATTAAATGTGCAGCCTGAATAAGATAATAGCATATCTCCAAAATGAGTTCTCTGCTATTCTATATCATATAATTGCCACAACTGTTAGATTGTCTAAGATATTTTGACTCCACCCTGAAGGTTCGTTCTTAATTGAGTCATTCCCAAATATAATATTCTCATGCCAATCATTGCTAATATAGTTATGAATAAAAAAACAGAGGGCATTAATTTTATCCCGATATAAATGGAGATGAATGATTTAGAATGGCTGGGAGCACATATTGTAGCATAGAGGTGTATATATACCAGTTCCTAATTCAGGCATCTTATACACAGTTATCAGAATGTCTGAGAGGAATAAGAAAAACAAAATGATTATAATAATTTACTTATATAGTGTCCTTCCCTTCACTTACTGTGATTTATGAGTATATAGTAAAAACAATAAAAGCATATTAGAAACCATTATAGTCATTTTTAAAGCAATGTTAGAAAGAAGGAAAAAGCTAATCCAACACTGTAGTGTTTATTTTAAGGAAAAATAATTCTTCATAGAATATTAGAACGACTGATGCTTCTTTTCTTCCTTTCCATTGTTCCCATCTGGATTTATTTTTTGTTTCTTTGTTTTTTGTCTTATGTTGTTACTTTAAAAAATGTTTTTAGCAAATTGTAACCTGCCTACAGTCACCAGAAGTCAGGTGGTATATATATTTAATATATTATGGTCCATCACACAGTCAGTCAGATATTCAGATTGAATTTGGCACTTTTGTCCATCTACTGAATCCTTTTCAACGATCTAGGATTTGAGATGTGGATGTCTGACTGTGAACCTAAAAATTATTACAGTAACATCTAAGGATATAGGCCAGGGATAGGCAACCTTGGCTCTTTTATGACTCGTGGACTTCAACTCCCAGAATTCCTGAGCCAGCCATGCTGTCTCAGGAATTCTGGGAGTTAAAGTCCACGAGTCATAAAAGAGCCAAGGTTGCCTACCTCTGATATAGGCAGTTAGAGGCAGGGCAATTTTTTTTTTTACAATTAGGATGTTCATGTCCAATAAATGTTCATAAGAGTTCAGTATTAATCTGGAGATCCCACTGTTTTGCAATTTTTTTCAGATTGCTCAAATTTAGCTTCACTCAAACTTAGCAATATCAATTAACGGACTTACTTTTTTTCAATGACTGTTAAGCATGTTATAAACAAGGTGCCTGCTAGTTTGGAATTTAAAGTCTCATAAGATCTTAACCTGCTTATTTCAAAGAGCACTATAGCATCTTTATTTCCTATCATTTTCTTTATTTTAAAGTCCCACCTGTTCTTGCTTGCAGGAAAATGATATTTCTCGATACCATTTTTGATAGCATGATATTCCAATGCACTATTGTTGTTACTTTGCCATGCTGTTGTTTGTAGTCAGTATGTGCATCTCCTCCTTGATCTCCTCCTTCTCCTTCTGGCCCTTCTCTTCCCACAGCTGCCAGTTCTCATGTTGCCTTTGTATGCATACAGTTCTTTCCAAGAACCTAGGGTGTTGTGATGTATCAGCATAATATATGTGCAGATACAATCAGTGTGGCCTTTTGCAATTGACAGAAATGTTGCTCACAGTATGTAACTTACAAAGTTTCTATCATATTTGAGCCTTAATATCTTTTGTGGTTATATTAAGCCCTGCAACAGTGAATTTTCTGAAAGCATTATTCAAACCTCCTCAATAGCTTCTTCCCACATGTAGACCTCCCACTGAGAGGTTATGGTTAGGACACCCATTTTATTGGCTTGATAAACTTGATGATAAGGGCAAAAAATGGATCCAGGAAATTACAGGAAGCTGTAATGTAAATTAGGAAGATTCTGGCAAAGATAATCAAGCAATAGATCTGTGAACACCTTGAAGCAAGCGAAATTATAACCAGAAGTCAACATGGGTTTACTAAAAACAGATTATGCCAAGCAAACCTTATTTCATTCTTTGATAAAGTGACTAAATTAGTGGATCAGTGAAATGCTCTGGACATAGTATACTTGGATTTCAGTAAAGTATTTGACAATGTAGACCATACCCTACTTCTTAGTAAGTTAGAAAAATGTAGGATAGACAGCATCACCACCAGATCGCTTTGTAACTGACTAACAAACTACATTCAACATGCAGTCCTTAATGAAATTACATCTACATTGAAGGAAGTAAGCAGTGGGATACCCCATGGTTCTGTCTTAGGCCTAGAACTCTTCAACATCTTCCTAGATGAAGATTAGAAGGGGGATTCATCAAATTTTCAGACAACACCAAGCTGGCAGGAATAGTCAACAGACAGACAGACTTGAACACTGGGCCCTTTCTAACAAAATGAAATTCAATGGTGAGAAAAATAAGGTTTTACACCTAGGCAAGAAAAAACAAATGTACAGGTGTAGAATAGGTGGAACATTGTTCAATAGCTGTAACAATGAGAGGGATCTTGGAGTCCTAGTGGACAATCAGTTAAATATGAGCCAGCAGTATGCTGCAGCCACCAAAAAAGCCAATGCAATCCTAGGCTGCATTACAGAGGGATAGAATCAAGATCATGTGAAGTTAGTACTGCTTTACAATGCCTTAGTATTGCCGCATTTGGAATATTGCATCCAGTTTTGGTCACCACAATATAAAAAAGATGTTGAGATTCTGGAAAGAGTACAGAGAAGAGCAACAATGATGATTATGTGGTGGGAGGCTAAAACATATGAAAAACGGTTGCAAGTATTGGGTATATCTAGTCTAGTGAAAGAAAGGACTGGGATGACAGGATAGCAGTGTTCCAATGTTTGAGGGGTTGCCACAAAGAATAAGGTGTTAACCTATTTATCAATGCAGCAGAAAGCAGAACAAGAAGCAATGGATGGAAACCAATGAAGGAGAGAACCAATCTAGAATTAAGAAGAAATTTCCTGACAATGGGAACAATTAGCCTTCAGAAGTTGTGGGTGCTCCATCACTGTAGGTTTTTAAAAAGAGACTGAACAGCCATTTGTCCAGAATGGTATAAGATCTCCTGCTTGGGCAGGGTGTTGGATTAGAAGACCTCCCTTCCAATTCTGTTATTCTGTTAACCACAATTTATCATATGAGGATGTTTCCTGAACTATGAACAAATGCAGTACCCAGAACTGCAGGAAACTCAAAGCAGCTCCACCTAAATGTTTTTTTCCTGAACTGGATATGTAGGTTCTGGCAGAGAAAGAATCAGGTGGTCTGGTGGAGAAGAAAGACTGAGGGCAGAGAGCAGGTGGACAGGGATGGTCCAGGAAACAGGCTTTCCGCTTTCAGCCTAAAGTCTCAAGGAAAAAGCCTGGGAAGGAATGTTTCCTCCCTGTGCACTCTGGAAGGACAAGCTTCCCTTTGAAGATGTCTAGAAGCAGTAATTGAGAAGGTCAAGTTTCCAGTAAACAGAACTTCCCTGCTCTCTCTTCCTTTTGGCATGCAATTCTCCTTTCTCTGATTTCTGGTTTTTCATTGGGTTTCTGTCTACTTTTTTGTTTCTCACTTTATTTCATGTCATCTTTCTTGTCTGCTTTCCTAATTCCATGGCAACTCTTTTGCTGCTTGAGTTTTATGTTGACTCCTGGTAGCTTCATGGACAGAGATATATATTTACGTTGGTAACAATACAGTATAGGAATGTTTTGCCATTGTGTTCTTCCAGGATTTTTACAACTTCCTAACCTATAGGTAATCTAAGTAACCTATAGCCTGAAGTTTCCCGTTGGTTTCTCATCCAAGTATTAACTGATAGGGTTGTCTAGTGCTTTTGATTCAAGTATTTTGGAGAACACAAGAGTATGAATGTAAACCTTTTCTGAAATTCCTTAAAACCTTTGAATTCAAAGGGCTGCATAGGACCACTAAACAGTCCTGTCCATTTGGCTTTTCAAAATCAAGTAAGTCCAGATAGGTGCTGTCCGTTATTTGACAGAATTTCATAGCTAGAGAAACAACAATACATTTCATTTTGCATAGAATCTGTGAGAAAGAAATTATGATTCATATAATAATGCATTACAATGTTTAAAAAATCTTCCAGAAAGAGACACTCCCATGTTTTATTATGTATCAGAATTTACTTATTATATTGGATTCTAGACGATGACTCTAATAAGGCTTAGATTTAGATACAGCTAGTGTCTATCAATACTGAATATGATTCATGGTTAAAACATCTATTGACACTAGCATCAATAAGGTCAATTGATTGTGCACTTTATAGTTCAATAGAAATACAGTTTAAAAATTCCTGGCTCACAAACTTTCTACACATATTTTAGCAGCAATCCCATGGTAAAGCCAAGCAACCAATTGCTTGGGGAAAGTGGCTCTGTACAGAGCCTGTTTATATCCAAATTTAAGCTTATATTTAAGTTATAAATGTTTATAAAAATGTAACATCCTAGGTAATGCTTAATAAGGATCTAAAAGACACACTGTATAGAACTTTACCTTTATTTTTGATGTCACCAGCATTTTCTCTGTCATCCTGAGCAAACACGTTATGGTCCTCATCTACAATAATAAGCAACATGTATATAAAATGTCTACTGGCAGATTAATTGTGCCACAAAATGTCCCATCATCTACACTGCAGAAAAAGTATACATTTTTTTCTCTCATTTATAATCCATGTACATTTGTTAGGATAGCAGTTAATAACCCCATCCCCAAAAAGGTAGCTGGGTAGGGCTATAAGACATAGCAAGTATTTTGTGGGAATCCTGCCCTGGTTTCTGATAGAAATAAAACTATCCCATGGTAAAATAAGTTTTTTTCTCTCTAGTAGCCATTTGTTATTTTTGTTCACTGCAAAACAAAAGCAGTAAGATGACACAGAAGCACTGATTGGAAGCCACTTTAGTAAATGAAGAGAATTTCTGGCCAATATGAGATAATCCTCAGGAGATAAAAAGTGAGGGTGCTCACCAGTCAGTTTGAAGAGTGGCTGTCAGGAGCTGCTTGAAATGCCATAAAATAGTCATAGCAGTATTACAACTACTTGTAATAAGAAATGTGTACTAAGATATAAAATTCAAATAGCTATAATGCTTTTGTTAGAATCATATCACAATGAATCCTGTTTACATAACCCTGTTAAGAATGAAAGGGTTTGTCTAGAAATAGCAAACTCTTTTAAAAAGCATTTAAAACTTTATTTATTTATTTATTTATTTATTTATTTATTTATTTATTTATTTATTTATTTATTTATTTATTTATTTATTTATTTATTTATTTATTTATTTATTTATTTATTTATTTATTTATTTATTTTTGCTTCCCCAGCAGCATACAAATATTGGCCAGATTGAAGAGTTCAGTCTACTTTCCACAAAATAGTTCTGCATGGTATGATGTATTTTTGCTGCTTTTGAAAGAAAGATGGTTGTAAATATTTTACTAAGTATGTTGCCACCACCACCTCCCATTCCTCTATACTGTAGGATATAACATCTTAGATTAGAATAAAGGAAGGTGATTAGAAAAAGGACATGAAAAGAAAGGCTTAAATCTCAATCTCAGCACAGGACAAATACCGTAACTAACAAGGCCCATTCTATCTTCCCTCCCCAAATCTTTGCCATCAGCTAATTCTTTAAAAAAAATCTTAGTGTTCTTATTCATGTAGTCCATAGAATGAATCACACTGTATTCTTCCTGGTTTTAAAACAGTTTTGCCCAATCTGATGTTTCCAAAAGGTTTTGAGTCACAATTCCCAAATATCCGAACAACAAAGTTTTTTGGCTGGCACAGAATTTTGGAGATTGTAGCCTCAACACATATGTAGGACTTCAGGTTGGAAAAGCTGTTTTAAAATGTTGCAAAATGCTCAGATGCAATCACTTCAAAGGAGGATTAACATGCACTCAATCTAGATGGCAATGATTTAGCTGTACATAAACTGATATTTGTTTATCATAAACAAGCAGCTGTGTTTGTGTGAAATATAACCACAGCAAAAATATTAATTGCATATTCATATTTTACTGATTTTAGGAATCTTGCAACCTTTCTAATGACCCTAAACTTAGAATGAGACATACTTTGCTGTTTACCAGTGCAGGTAAGTTCAAACAATATAATCATATTATGACCAAATTGAAAGAATGCCTTCTTTGATGTCTTCATAATGCAGTGCAGGTGTTAAACTGCAGCTGTAAACTGGACTAATCTCTAATCTATATTTTGCTATGATTTCATTAATTAGCTATGATTTCATTAATTTGCTATGATTTCATTAATTAGCGCTCATGTAGGCAATTCTAAAGACTTGAGTGTGTTGAAACAATTTATTTCTGACCAGCTGAGTTCACACAACACAATCAGGTTAGATAAAAGACTAGGTGTAGGAGATGACCAGGCTGAGCCTGAGAGAAGGGTCAAGCAGGTTATAAATCTCTAGTCCAGCCCACCTTGAATTCCATAGACTCTTATCTACTGCCAATTTGCTTTGGCCAGTTCAGATTCTTGTAGGGAGCTTAAGCTTGCAATAAATATATATATTCATTTGAACTCCCTGGACTCCTGATTTTCTGTGCTTGACACAAGTAGTTTTATCTGCACAACATACTAAGTTACATTAATGTTAATTCTGGTCTGTTTTTTTTAATGATTTAGAATGGTAAACTCCTGCTCCAGTCCTGCTCTGCTGCCTTATAGTGGCAGGGTATGTGTGGATGTTCTAAAGCCAAAGCAAGCAAATTAACAATGGGCAGCAGCAATACAGAAAGAGGCTAGAAATATATGACCATTGTATTATAGATAGCAAAGGCATAATCTCATTTTGCATGGGAGAAAGCAATCGTAAACCACTTCTGTATTTTATCAAGAAAACCATATGAGTAGGCCAGATAAAATAATGGAAAATATGGTGCTTTAATGCTCAATATGCTACTTAAGAAGGGCTCAGGAACTTTTTAAGTATTAATGATATTTATGAGGCAGCTAAAGTCTTTGGGACACCTAGTTCCTGATGTTGCCATCCAAGAAAAGATGACCTAATTCTACAATGATAGAATTACAGCGGGACTGTGAAATGTAAGCATGAACGTAAGGAAGTTCAATCCACTGAAAGATGGAATGAACTGACTAAAAATTAGCATCCTAGGAATTGGTAAATTGAAATAGATTGGAATTGGATACTTTCTACCAGAAGATTATACTGCATATTATTCAGGATGCAAAAACAAAGAAGGAATGGCATCACTTTCATAGTCAGGAAGGATATAACAACTACAGTACTACACAGCACTTGGCAGAATGCAATTAAACTGTGCAGACAACTCTTTAATATGATGATTATTCAACTTTATGTTCCAACCACTGATGCAAAAGAGGAGGTTGATGGATGTTATATATAAATGTTGATTTAAATTCAAACTTAAATCAATAGAACATGCAAGCAAGATCTGTAGCTTGTGGCTGGAGATGAGAACATCGAAGTTGGATATGCTAAGGAGGAACATTTAGTTGGACTCAATGGCTTAGGAAGCAGGATAATGATTTATTAATTGCTACAATCCAGTGATTTCTTCATTGCTAAAACAGCTTTCCAACAACCAAAATGATGTGTACATATGTGGACGTCACTAGGTGGAGTACTGTCAGGTGCAAACAACCAGATCCAGATGTGAAGGATTCAAGATAACTATTTATTGTGTTCTATCTATAGTGCAAGAATCTCCCTAGATAAGGTCCTATGCAACCTAGGGGAGGTTAGGTGTAAGTCTCTTGTGGCTGCGCAAAAATTTAGCATTACCTCCCTGCTTGATCCTTCTTCATTGCCTGGCAGGGAATGACCCAACAACACACTCCCCACATCCGATCCCTCTCTCTACCATGTTGTGTTTATTGCCTGGGATTTCACAGGAACTTGGGGGTGGGTGGGAGCAATGCCAACTGAAAGAAGTCCTCCCCCCCCCAGTCTGAAGACTATTTCCAGCCATGCGGTGCATCCTGCAAAACATCCAGATGGTTAGAGAATTCCTCCCTACTTTCCCTCAGGAAGTGAAGTCCAGAAGATAAAAGTCGAGTCTTGTCTGCTTCAATGCTTCCCTCTAGAGGGGTCTCCGCTTCCTGGTTAACTCCTTCATTTACTGATTCCTCCTCAGGCTCTAGGATGGAATTGTAGACTGGAAGTTTAGAAAGTTGTCTGGGAATTGTTGGTAAAACTGCTACACTAATTCAGAAGCATGCACACTTGTAGCATTTTCCCATGAAAGCTCTGCTTCTGGATAGCATTTCCAGTGAATCGAGTACTATATGCTTTTACCATGTCTCCTTGAGTTCAATATTTCTTTCACCTTGAACTCTTTCTTGCCTTTAATAATCAGTGTGTTTGGGCGTGTATGTGTTAATGGCAGTTGTGATCATAAAAGGCTTGGTGGCACATCTCTGACTAGCAATGAATGATAGAAAACTGGGTGAACTTTCATAGATGGTGGCAATTGCAAACAAAAGGCCACAGTATTTACACGCTGTAGACCTTAAAGAAACCCACAAACTTTTATCAAGTTTCTTCGAGGGTCTGATAGAAGCCAAAAATTTGGCCAACAACCATACTTTGTTTCCCTCAGCAACTGTGTACTTCTTACTTCCCTCAGGGGCATGGGCTCTCCCTCTCCTGAATCAGCTGTAGGTGGCATGAGGGAAGGGAAATCTCATAAAACGAGACCTAGGCTCATTTGATCATCCCACAGTTCTTCCAAATGGGAGTCTATATGTACACAAAGTTAGTACAATTGTTCCAGACTTTGTGGAATTCCTTGCCTAATCAGTTCAGTCCGGTTGTCAGTATGCAGACTTTGCCTGAACTGGTCTATCAAGGCTGCTTTGTTCCAATCCATATCTGCCACCAACAAATTGAAATCAAGTATATAAAGCCTCGCCCTTCTGTTGCCTTGCCTAAGTTACCAATCTCATGGCTGGCTATCACATGTTGGTGTGAATGTTCTTGGTAGTTCCTTGATAAGGCTGTTGTTTACTGTTATCTTGTTTATCTGCATTGGTAGTTTCTTGATTGGGGTATTGTTTACTTGATTGTTGGTCTAGTGTTAATCTTGGTGTTAATATCTGCTCATATGGATGTTGATTTCTGGTGAGGAGGTGTTTTGGTCTTTCTATTTCCTTTTGAGATTTTTGACTGTCTGTTTTGAGTGGTTAAAAACATTAACAAAGATAACAGCCTAATCAAGGAACCACCAAGAACTTTCCCACCCACACTGACAGGGCAAGCCACTAGCAGATCCTACTCCCTGCTATGCACCAATGATGTTACCTAGTTTGCTAATGAATCTGCAAGAAACTCACCAAACTCATAGAGAACCAAGGATCCCACACCCAATTGTTCTTATGTAAAACTTATAGACGGGTCTGGAAACCACAGCATAAATGAAACATGGTGAAAAAGATTAGCTCCATGTCAGCAATGTATATGCTGAATATACACTGAAGGAAGCTGAATTAGATGAAGATGAGCATGATTTTAAAATTGAAGGAAAAAGCATTAGTA